ACACACACACACACATACACACACACACACTCTCTCTCTCTCTCTCTCTCTCTCTCTCTCTCTCTTCCCCTCTCACTCTTCTCCTCTCTTTCTCTGTCTTTCTCTCCCTCTCTCCCCCTCTCCCTCTCTTGGCACGGTCAATTCGTGAGTTTGCTAGAGCGCATTCTCCATCTCATTGTTGTTACTGAAAGAGTCGGCCTTGTCCCTCAGCACATAGCCATTCTCCTCTAGGTCTTGATGACACTCTCGGCTACAGCTACAGTACAACTTCAGGAACGTCTGTCGGAATTTAGCGCTCATGGAGCAATACAAAATAAAATTCACCGCGTTGTTCACCAAAGCACATATATCCATGAGGTCCCCCAAGGGCATGTACACTTTGAGAAAGAAACCCGCCTTGCAGGCGCTCAGGATAATCAGCACACCCTGAGGCAGCTCTGTGATGAGAAACAACACAATAACCGTCATCAACATTTTGGTGGTTCTGGAATGTTCATGAAGCTTATGGTTGTTGGAGGCGGAGACTTTGAGGAAGTCTTTTCGCTGTTTGATCTTCGCCCTCATCTGGTACAGCAAGAGCGCCCCGAAGACGGATATGAGAAAGCAAGGTATCAGCTTCGCCAAAATGGCGTACATCCAGACGTTGGCGAGAACCAGAGGGTTCGTGTCGTTGCTACCGAGTCGTAAATTCTCCAGCACGTAGATAGTCTCGTTCACTCTCGCGCCGTCGTCAGACCACGCTTGAGATTTGAGTTCGTTGGTCAGGTAGTTGGGAATCATGACAAGGATGGACAGGAGATACGTCCCGAAGATGAGATATCGCGATTGGGTGATCCTGCGCAGGCGCACTGAGCTGGCGCGCGTCGGTGACCGGATGTGAAGATATCGGACGATGGCGAGAAGGACGCAGAGCCAGATGGAGATGGTGTGCGTCACTGTGGTCAGGTTGATGTGGAACAACAGGAAGCGCATCCAGCCCCGGGAGTTTTTCTCCGGAGAGGCGCTGTTGACCGGATGTACGCAGTAGAAGTGGACGGCAAAAGGGACATAACTCAACATGGTTATGATGTCAGACACAGCGAGACCTGAAGTAAAAAAAAAGAAAAGGACATGTAATTTAAGAAGCAGCTTTTCGTCCTCGTTAGCACCATTGTTAGATCATTTATGAGGCTGGTTGCTTCAACCTAGCTGCCAGAGCAAACCATGGTTGAGCGATACAATGTCCTAGAAGAAAGACGGAAATACTCGACAACAAATTTTTCAACACACGGGAATTGAGTTCATGTCTTCTGTATGCGAAGGCAACCACCTAACCGCAACACCACAGGCGCCGCTCAAAAAATGCAAGAAAGACCTATTGGACATTTTGTGTCTAAAGAATAGTCAATAAAACAAAACAATTAAAGAAGACGTGTCATGAAAAGCGAAATTTGAAATGTTTCGAGGAATCTAAACGGCTGTAACTGAGCTCTTGACTCTTTCTGCGTCTTTTTTACTGCAAATTCTTTGTTCCTTCTTACTGTTGTCTTTAAGCTACATCCCTGATCTTGGGGTAGGTAAGATTTAATATCTCGCCTTCTCGGATGAGGGCGGAACGATCTCGGAGGTCAAGTGTGCAAGTTCACACGTTAAAGATCCATTGGAGGTCCTAAAATAGATAGAGTAGGCTTTGTCCACCACCCGGGTAAAATTTAAAGTTAATTATTACCAACCTGACAATTCTTAATGTGTCCTGCGCGTTCATATGACATTATGCAATTACAAGCGCCGTAAAACACTTATCAAGACAAAACAACCAGAATCATTTACAATGAAACAATTCTCAGCCCCCCCAGTCCCTCAAGTCTTCCACACCTATACAATCATAATCATGAGAACTTCACCTGCAGGTATTTCTTTTGTTTAGTTACCCGAAACATTTACCATAAAATATAACCCAGAACCCGTCCTTCCCCGTCGCCCCCATTGTTAAAAGCCATCCTCACGCACACATTCATTACAGTTATCATCATGAGTACTTCCCTTGTCAGAATCTGATTTGTATTGGTTCCCATAACATTAACAAAAACACACACAACAAACCAAAACTCTTACCCCCCCCCCCCCCCCACACACACACATGCCCAATATTTCTTAACAGCATTCTACAGGTATATACTCATTATCATGAGTACATCTCTTGTAAGTATCTGATGTTGTTTGTTTTTACCCGAAAACATTTACAAAAACAAAAACAAACCAAAACCAAATTAAAACCCCACTCCCCCACGTTCTCCAATCGTCCTCAAAATAGCCTAACACACCTATACAGTCACGATTATCAACGTGAGTACTTCACCTGTAAGTATCTGATTGACGGGCGTGCGCATGTTTCGTCTGGTGAGCACGGTGACGTTGAACGTGTTGGTCACAATGCCCCCGACACAGACGCACAGCGACACGTAGCCATGGTAACGGGCGTACCACTCGGAGAAACTGCGCAGGTCTTCGTTCACGACCGTCTCGTTGGACATCGTAACCTGGGCCGCCGACAGACATCTCACATCCTTCTCCAGGTACCTGGGAGAGGTCAACAGGACGCGAGACGTTAGGAGGCAGGAGGGAAAAGGTTAAAGGTCATAAGAAATGAGGCACGGGTGGGTGTTGCGTGGTGGGTGGGTTGGGAGGGAGACTGTCTGTCCAAGCTCTCAAGAGGTCAAAGAGATTAAATTAAGAACTCATTAGTAAGGAAGTCAAAGTATCAATAGGTCAGATTAAGAGGTCAGAGGTTAAAAGGTCAAAGTTCCTGAAGCCACAGGTTAAATCTAGTTTGTATGTGTGTGTGTGGGTTGGGGGGGGGGTTGTCAGAGCTCTCAAAAGGTCAGACAGATCAACAGCTCAGCAGTAAAAAGGTTAAATTATTATATCAAGATGTCAAATCATCAGGGACTAACCAAAACGAGTACGCTACACTAAAAGTTATGATATCTTTTTATTTTTCAGTTTGATGATCTCCAAGTTTACTTTGTGTTGAATTACGATCTAACTGTGACCACAGATGCATTATTTTTATGTAAAATTTATGTCTTTACTTGAGCATTCCAAGTTTCCTGTGATAAAAAGTACCACTTTTATTACCGGTTTTCCTGTCGTGTTGCCGTCCATCCATCCACCCCTTGAATTCAATATTTAGTAAATTTTGTTTTCACGTATTATTATATGTATTGCTCAGGACTAACTAATACTACATACCTCGATAGTGTAATAGTTTTTAAAAAAAACTGTTTTGTCTATCTCTGAAAGGTAAGCAGGCTACATTTTGTTCATAGGTTTTATAGCTCAATCTTGAAATTAAGAGATCAGAGATTATAAAGTCAAAGGTTAGAGGTCAGAGGTTCAAAAAAGAAAAGCCGAATGCATTCAGTTACACACACACACCAAACAGACACACACACACACACACACACACACACACACACACACACACACACACACACACACACACCTGCGAAATACATAAGGGTCTAATATTGGTCTGCATGGGAAAAATCACGCGTCTAAGAGTCTAGACGAGGTGGATGAGTTTAATTATTTCACATGGATTCCATCGGGGTTATAGGCCGAAGACGACGCAAAGGGGCACCTTTCATTGGAGGAGAATAGCCAATGATATATGAACGCATATTATTTATTTGATTGTTTTTCTTCTTTTATATTAGGAAATATATAGATAGATAGATAGATAGA